AAATGTCACTTTATCGTCAGTTACGGTTGTTTCAATGGTTGCAGCTACAGTACAAATTTTAATAGGTTCGGATTTATATTAAAAAAAAAACTTTTGGAGTTTCCCTGTGATCTGGTGTGCTTATTAATCATAGATTCAAAATTAAAGAGATAAAAATTAAACAGAGATATTTTCATTTTTCATTTTTATGTAAAATTTAATATTTAATTCGTCAAGTGCTTTTGGCTATAAAGCCATCATCAACGCATCGTCAATTTTTTTTATATAAAAGGCACAAAGTAGTAAACTGGTGAAAGACAAACATAATATCTAACGACTGTCACCAGCGCTGGTATGCGGAAGTATCCCTAGGGATTATTCACTTACCCAATGGACTCCTTGCGTATAAAATTAGCTGGAAAATTTAAAAGTGGTAGAGAATAGAAAGAACAGAAACAGTTGGTAATAAAGGTGGTAATTAAATTTAAAATATTTCTTTTATTTACTTTTGTTATCACCGTTCCCTTATTTAAACATATATGCAGGGACGGTTTCTCCTTTGGTTGATTTGTGCAGTGAACACCCAGTTAAATTTCATTAAAAATATTATTTTAACGTCACATAAATAATTTTATATTAATGGAACGCGAGAGGTTTCCGCGAATGCCAGTAGTTAAAAAGAGAAGTCAACAGAAACGTGAAACAAACAGTGTGACTGATTAAAACTACGCTATTTTTAGCATCATTTGTGCATCGCACGTAGATTACATTACGACAGTTAACTCTGCTTGATCCATCGACTAGTCGTTGTGCTTGGTCAAGGTCACTCTAAGTGAGGGTATTTAATCCAACGTTGTCACATTTAGTCACCCCTAGATGCTTTCAACGGTTTAGCCGGAACTAATATAAAATATACATCAATACAAAACAGGCTATTTATTTTTACGCTAAAAGGTATTTCAGATATTCAAAACATCATTTTAACCAGAGAAAATTACAAACATCCCAAAATTACAGAAGTAAGTACAATAGGTAATAAATTTGAATATTGCCGCCTTGTTATCCAAAAATATTTCTCTAATAACACAGTTGAGAAATTTGACATGCTAGTTATAATATAGTTAGAAGTCAAAATTTATATACAAAGTGTACAACAGTTAATCCAACTTACTAAAATTAAATTTCTGATAGGTTCAGAAAAAGTTTTGAATAAAAGTTTTATAAAATTACTTAGGGTATCAGTATAAGTTAATAGGAGATATACTGGGTTGGACATTGTTCCAAAATTAAGCAAGAATACATTTTTCCGTACTGTATTTAAATTTAAAATAAAACCGTTAAAACAACATTGTGCTAACTTTATTAGGCATTAGCCATCCATTCGTTATTTTGGAGTAAACGTGCACCCGATATATTTTTTCTAACTGACTTACATTGATGACTTGATTTATTTCATAAACAAAATAAAAACGTTTCTTGACATACCTACACCATGAAAGCACGTTCTTCCTCTACAGGTAAGTCCGTTGTAAGGACGAGCGTAGCTGATTATTATGGTAAAGGTGTGAAAAGGTCACCCTCGCTTCGCTCACTCTTTGGTTTAGTGGTAAGCCTTTTGGTAGGACGTGCACAGCTGGCTCTTAGGGTGTAGGTGTAAAAAGGGCGCACTAGCTTCGCTCACTCTTTTATCTAGTGGTAAGCCTGTTGGTAGAAGGCGCACAGCTGGCTCTTACGGTGTAGGTGTTTTTTCATATTTCGGCTTTTTCAAATTTAAATTTGATATTGTTTTATCACGAGAGAAACGAGACGAGACAAGACGAGAGAAAGGCTCTCTCGAGCGAGAGAAGCGTCTTCTCGTCGAGACGAGAGAACAGTTTTCTCTCGCCCTACGGGACGAGACGGGAGAGGCCACTCTCTCGTCTCGTCTTGTCTCGCGGCATCACTGATGGCCATATTATTTAAATTTATTACCTTCTATATACCTATTTATGAACTTCTATAATTTTCAGATGAGTTAAATTTTCTCTCTGGTAAAATGATCTTTTGAATATCTGAAATATCTTTTATTTTAAAAATAAAATAAAACGTATTAGGGGGTGGGTTGGCTCAGTGGTTAGAGTCATGACTTTCAGATCGGAAGGTCTCAGGTTCGAATCCCACCGTTGGCCGGGATTTTTTCATTTAATTTAATTATTTAAAATTAATTCTGATGCCTTGGTAGGATTCCCCACTCGACCATTCACTGTTGGGTTCTAATTAATAGTGCTGTTCCTAAAGTGGCGCTGGGAAACAGTAACAAAGCCTACACAGAACACGAGGCTAATGGCCGTAGTAGTCGACGCCGATGACACTAAATTAAAAAAAAAAAAAAATAAATAAAACGTAATTAGGCATTCTAACGACCTGTCCAAATGGCTACCAGTGGGTAATGACAGTTTAGATATGGCAAACCTGTTGTCATGTTGTCATTAACAGAGTCAATGATACATATATAGTTATATAGATTGCTCAAAGCTGGTCGTTTACGAGCGGCCATATTGCCTGGCAAATATTTATTAATTTGAATCTGTTTATCAAAAATGTGTTTTAAAACCAATTTTTAGCCTTTAGATATTTAAAAAAAATAATTGCTTACATTTTTACTTCAAGGCATAAGCTTATGTTTATTTTGAAAAATATGGATGATCAATCTATGTAACTATCTATTTCATTGACCTTGTCAAATCACCAGGCCTACAGGGTTGCCATAATTTTGCCATATCATAACCCACTGGTAGCCATTCAGTTTGGAATGCCTAATTTAAAATGGGACGGCTAAAAGTTTTCAGGGGTGTCGTCACGCCGCGCTGGACTTAGTAGAAATTAAATTAATTAGGCTATCCTCTTTAGTTGATATAGTCATTGACTTTGGTTGACAATTCATTTGTCAGACTAATTAATTCTCTTGTTTGAAAATTTAAAACTTTTGAATAACCCAAAATAATTTTTGTTTATTACTTTATAGATGAAGTAATATTAATAGGTACAATTTAATCAAAATGGATAAAAAAATCGCTGGCTGTGACTGAAAGTTAAGTTTTTTAGGAAAAGCAACGAAATAAATTAATAAAAGTAGGGATTTTTAAAGGGTTTGGAAATATGGTACTTTGTGGGGTTTCCGGTGGTATAGTTGAAAAGCAATTTTTTTCCTAATTAAAATGTAAGCATAAAAAAATTGGATTATTAAGTAAAAATATATATTCCCATAATTACTTTTTTATCCGTGATATGAGCATTGTTTTAATATGTATTCGATTCATGAAAGTACCTAATCGATTCTGTCAATTATTATTTTATTTAGATTTTGTTATAAATTGAAACGTTTGGCAACCATGCATATGTCTTACACAAAAACCAAAAAATCTTAGGTTAGAATCACCAAAATTCGAAAGTACAGTTCATCAAATTTCTAGAGGCTTTCGACGGCTAGACAGAGAAAGCACTACTGACAGGCATCCCGACGGATTTACGCAATGAAAGTACAGTCTGCGCATCAAGTATTTCACTATTTCATTCAGACGTAAATGTCAGATGTAAATTTCGCTAAAACATTTCTTTTATTTTCGTTTGTGTTTTTTGCTCATTACAGTTTAATAGAACCTAAGTATGGAGTTTAATAGCAAATTAAGAGGCCGCGTGATTAACAGTCAATCTCGCGAAATAATAGCCAATGTTATAGAGTTTATGAGAAGAGAAGGAAACTTTAATTCACCTTCAATACCATTTAAAAATGTAAATGATCGTGTTGCTGCAGCCACAGGAGTATCTAAAAACACTGTCGTCCGCATTTCTGGAGAGAAAAAAAGAATCGATGACCGTGAGATATCGGAATTTTCATCACCAAGAAAAACCATTAAAAAACCAAAAACAGTTAATGATATAGATGAAGCTGCACAAGAATCAAATTTTATTTTTTTATTATTAGATAGCTATTTTTGTTTCTGAGTTGTGTTCATTTACAGGCTCAATTTTTTTCCGTATCTCCTTTTTGATTTTATATGGGGTTTCAAGTTGTTTTTGACTTATTTCGACGTAAATCACAACAACACACTTTTTTAATAAAGCAAACAAGTGTTAAGAGGTATATGTACGTGTAAACTACCATTACAAAAAATTGATATGAAACCACCAACAAAAATGTAAAGCTAGCTTCCGTACTAGAACATGGTGTCATTCGTCGAGATAATTTATCGTTTTGTTTAATAGATCAAGAAGTGTAAATATTCCCCTGTTATTTTTTATAAAATTATAAGAGAAATAAATTTTTTTCTAAATAGTATAGTTTATTATTTTGTAGAAAAACAAAATTTCGAAAATTTTAGTAATGTTTCAGAAACAACCGTTATTAATAATAGGTACCATTTTCCTTAATAAGGTAGAAATAAAATATAAACTATTTCCACGATTTACAAAGGCCTACAAAAAAATTATAGGTATTTTCCGCTATCCTATAAAATTTATATTTTCTGACTCAATTTCAAAAGGTTGAAGGAATTCCAAAACACCTTTTATGGCATAATAATTATTTTCAATTCTACATACTATCTTTAGCTGCTTTTAAAAACGTTCTAAGAAAGTCCAATCAGACCAATTTAATCCCTAAACTATTCCACACTTTTAAAATTTAATTACCTAAAAATATTAAAAACTATTTAAAATAACTTGTTTAGCAGACTGTACAATAGCTATCTTAGTCACACGTAGCGCATTCTCTGTCTGGGCGTCGAACACCTCTAGAAATTTGATGAACTGTATGCTCTAAGGTTTTAACTCAAATTTCTCTGTTATTTATGCTTAATCCGCAATTTTTTTGTTTGTTATTTCCTACATACACTTAATACTATTTTCTAGTTCAATTTTTTTTTTTTTTCGAAATTCGTGTGTCCGTTATGTTTACAGGCACCGAAATAAAATAGAAGATGCACAGCCTTTTCGTCGACGTTATTTATACAATACCAAAGTAACGAAAAAATGTGTACTTTCAACTAGCCTTTATTGACTAAAATAAATTAATCTCTAACAGAATAAAATAAGTATTTAATAAAACTGAGGTTTTCACTTGGATGTCATCATAGTTACAAATTCTTCATAATTTATCTGGCCGTCTCCATCAATATCAGCCTCCCGAATCATTTCGTCCACCTCTTCTTCGGTCAACTTCTCTCCCAGATTTGTCATGACATGTCTTAGCTCAGCCGCAGTAATATACCCATTCCCGTCTTTGTCGAACACCCTGAAGGCCTCTCTTATTTCTTCTTCACTGTCGGTGTCCTTCATTTTCCTGGCCATCATGGATAGGAACTCCGAAAAATCTATAGTTCCATTTCCGTCCGCATCCACCTCATTAATCATGTCTTGAAGCTCAGCTTCGGTGGGATTTTGTCCGAGAGATCTCATGACCGTCCCTAGTTCTCTTGTTGTTATTGTACCATCGTTGTCTTTGTCGAATAGAGCAAAGGCTTCTTTAAATTCTGCTATTTGTTCTTCAGTTAGTTGGTCGACCATTTCGGTAAATTCTATAATTGTCAAATTTTGACACACTATAATAGCTGAGTTTACAGATACAGAGTGATACTGTTTAATTTCTTTACAAAACATGCATCTAGGCATCTAAGGCACATGCTCTACATGACAAGAGTAGCTTCTTTGACTGATAATCTTATTCTGTATTGTCAAAATATTTTCAAAACTGATCATGTCTGAAATACTGCCCGATGATCTCATTGTTGAGTTTAAAGAAGCCTTCGCTTTATTCGATGAAGACGGCGATGGCATTATCGATACAAAAGAACTGGGAACTATAATGCGAGCTTTGGGACAGAATCCCACTGAAAGCGAATTGGATGATATGATTAAAGAAATTAACACGTGCCAGCAAACAGGAAAAATTAATTTTGAAGTATTTTTAAACATTATGGTTAGTAAAAAATTACTATATAAGGTACAAGGTACTAGGCAGTTATTTCCATAGTGGCTAAGAAGGTTTTCAACTATCTGTATGTCTTTTTGATGCTTTTCTAACCGACTTCAAAAAAGGAGGAGGTTCTCAATTCGTCGTAATATTTTTTTATGTATGTTCAGCGATAATTCTTTAACACGGTGTTCGATTTCAATGTTTCTTTCTTTTGTTAGAAAGGGGGTACTTTAGGAGTGGTCCCATATACATTTGGTCCAAATCTAATTATTGAGTCCATGAGAAAATCCTCAATAATTCCTTACTACCTTGGTCAAGATATGGTGTTGGCATCTGCACGATTTTGAAGCGGGTTTTTAAAAATTACTTTTAATATTTCAAAGACTTTCTGCTTTATTATCTTTATTAACTAGTTTCTGCAAATTAGCCACCTAAGTTCCTGAAATTGTAGTAGAGAGTAAGCCAATTCACTCCAAAATCTTAGAATTTCACAAGATCTGGGGAAATTTGTAGATGTGGGAACGTCGTAATACATGGAGTATATGATAGGCACTTTTACATTTCCCTAGACATCGAGCGCTTCTGTAGCCAGAAAAGCCACAGAATAAGGCAACGTCGCATTTTGGTACGACGCTTCGATCGAGAGATCCTTAGGCAGATAAGAGCAACATCAAGACGGTCGTTGGACTATGTCATCGGACGGGGAGGGGGCGGAAGAGAGCATAAGGACCTAAGCCGATAAGCACCACTTCTCACAGCAAGGTATTCGTCAAACATTTTAATAAAAGGATGTATAGCTTGTCATCAAGTAAAGAGTTGTCAACTGCCAATTGTCAAAATGATGCAAAGGGGGTTGAGATAGATATACATAAATGGTATATCAAAAGGACAAAGTCATTAATAACTTTACAGAATAATTTAACAAATGAAAGGGACTATGACGTCACAAAGTCATTAACAACTTTAAATTAGCAACGTATCAGCAGCATTTAGTCTTAGCTATTGTAGAATACTGAGTGTATAACAGCCTAGTTACCAAACAAAAAATACCTACCATCTACTCCATGTATTGCGACGTTGTTCTATCTACAAATTTCCCCAGGTCTTGTGAAATTCTGAGATTTTGGAATGAAGTAGCTTACTCTTTACTAATTATTTATTTAAAAAAAAAATTGTTATCACTTTTCACGAAGACGTTTAAATTTCGTTGGAAAGAGAGAACAATAATTTGTGCCTTAACACCCATTTCAATTTTATTATAAATTCATCTTCAAAATCAATCTTTAGAATTAATCTTTAGAATCAATCTTTAGAATCAATCTTTAGAATCAATCTTTAGAATCAATCTTTAGAATCAATCTTTAGAATCAATCTTTAGAATCAATCTTTAGAATCAATCTTTAGAATCAATCTTTAGAATCAATCTTTAGAATCAATCTTTAGAATCAATCTTTAGAATCAATCTTTAGAATCAATCTTTAGAATCAATCTTTAGAATCAATCTTTAGAATCAATCTGTAATCTCGTTACCCTGTACCCCGTTGTGTCCCGGGACCCAAGTGAGAGTAACTCTATTTTTCTCGCCTAGCTCATTCAGTTATTCTAGGCATCTCCAGACCATTTTTGTGCTGATTACGTAAGAGCTCAGCACTTTGATGGCTGCTTGACCATCGGACATGATGATAATATCTTGTCTATGATAGTTTCTCTCGATGTTGAACTGGATACACTTCTAGAGGACGTGAAGATGCTTGGATATTTTCCTAAGCTTTCGGAGTGCTTTGTTCTCGGCCCATACACTCCTATTCCAGTTCCTTCTATGGTTTTGAAATCGTCCGTATACCACCGAATAGCACGTCTTTCGGTTGCAAGCGCGATGGATTCTTGGCTCCATTCTTTCTTGCAGCCCAGATCTGTGGTTTTGAAGTTTTTCACAAAACTGTACTTCTTTAGCATTTCATCCTGGGGCATGTCCTAGGTATCTTTAGTCCTGAAGCAAGTAGACTTTCGTCTGATTACTCCGTGCCTGATCATTCTATATCGTGTCCTTTTTGCCACATTCTCTATCATCAAATGTAGAGGGGTGGGGTTTAAGATCACCTCCATTGCGGCCGTAGAACAGGCCATTGCACCAGTAATGCAAACACAGGCTAGTCTTTGTACTAGTCTTTGTACTTAGCTCTCGTAGTAGCTAAAATAGTTCTGTTACTCCAGGCTATAGCCCCATAATACTTCCTTAGAATACTTCATTAGAATACTTCTTTAGAATACTTTTTTAAAATACTTTAGAATACTTCTTTAGAATACTTCTTTAGAATACTTCTTTAGAATACTTCTTTAGAATACTTCTTTAGAATACTTCTTTAGAATACTTCTTTAGAATACTTCTTTAGAATACTTCTTTAGAATACTTCTTTAGAATACTTCTTTAGAATACTTCTTTAGAATACTTCTTTAAAATACTTCTTTAGAATACTTCTTTAGAATACTTCTTTAGAATACTTCTTTAGAATACTTCTTTAGAATACTTCTTTAGAATACTTCTTTAGAATACTTCTTTAGAATACTTCTTTAGAATACTTCTTCAGAATAATTCTATAGAATACATCTTTAGAATACATTTTTTGAATACATCTTTAGAATAATACATCTTAATAATACATCTTTAGAATAAAACATCTTTAGAATAATACATCTTTAGAATAATGCATCTTTAGAATAATACATCTTTAAAATAATGCATCTTTAGAATAATACATCTTTAGAATACATCTTTAATTACATCTTTAGAATACATCTTAGGATACGTCTTACGAATACATCTTAGCCAAATGTCTGGTTATATAAACATAAGACCAAGATGCTTTTAAAGTTAAATTAATTATTTTAGGCTGCCAAGCTAAAATCTACAGACAACAACGAAGAGCTGAGAGAAGCATTTCGGGTATTCGACAAAGACGGTCTGGGTTTCATATCTGCGTCGGAACTGCGTTACGTCATGACCCATATGGGTGAGAAACTAACTGAATCCGAAGTGGATAACATGATAAGCGAAGTCGAAATTGACAGAGACGGTTTCATTAATTACGAAAAATTTGTCAACCTGATGGCCACTGTTTAATATATGCGCATCAACATTTTATTACAAAAATTATATAATATGTATATACTTAAAGATTTTTATTAAAAACTTTAAAATTACTACTGACATAATTAATTGTTTGTTTGTTAATAGAAATAGACACTATTGTTACAAATACATATATTAATTAAAAGTAGAATTTTGACGACAACATATGATCTCAGGAAAATATTGAAAATACAGGATTTTGTTAATATTTAAATGCTAACAGTACCTTATTTAATTACCTTAACTTAACCTGTACCTTGCTAATTATCAACATTTTATCAATGGTCGAATGTAGCCAAGAGAAAACAAGAACAGCGAGGCACTAGGGTATCAAAAACAAACTGGTTTCTTATAAATAGTAAATAGAACAAAACTTGTATGAGTAATAAAATTGTGTTCAATCATACGCTTCTATAAAAGTAGCAGGAAGAACTGGAGGGATCAATGTTCGAGCTAGCTTAGCCTAGAGCAGTACACTCTAATTTTAGATAGATCTAGATAGATTGGTCGAATGTCAAAAATGCATTTCTGACATATTTCGACAAATAAAGCAAATAATATTTATTTTTTAATACACCAATTTACTGTGCAATCATCAAAATGGACGATGAAGAAGAAGCTCCAGAAAGACAAGAATTCACACACGTGGAAATAGAAGAGTTCAATCAAGCGTTCAATCTATTCGATCGAGACGATGACGGATTGATTAACTATAAAGAATTCAGCACGATAATGCGAGCTTTCGGCCAGCAATACGAAGATTTGGACCTCAGCGATATGTTCACCGAGGCCGACGAAGCCGATTCTGGATTGATAAATTTCGATCAATTCGTGAAAATATTGGAACAATATTATAAAGAGGATTTCTCGGAAGAAGATCTTCTCAAAGCGTTCAAGGCTTTTGACAAAGAAGGAGCTGGATTCATCGAGAGGATGGATTTGAAGGATATTATGCTTCATTACGGTTAGTTTTATTTTTCTTTTTAAGGTGACTTAATTAGGCGTTTTAGGAAACCTACTCGGACAGAAAGATTATGGATCCTATTGTTCCTTTATCTATGGTTGCCATCCTAATCCGTGTTCGGAAACTAATAGATTACTGATCCAGCTTTGTGATCGAGATCAATATTTTGTGATCCATTCTACGAGTAGAAGAGATAGCGCAATTTTTTTGGTGTTTGGTGTCTGCCAGTAGTAGTTTTGAAGTTTTTTCTTCATTCAATTAGTTGTAACATGTAATATTTGTGCTCACATTGCGACTTTATTAGTCAGACTACAAATAGGTTTATTTAAAATGGTTCTTTAACAAATAAGAAGGGGGAATCAAAGATTGACAGAAATAATAATCCAACTCGTTCGTAAACTGTCGGCACCAGTTCAGTGATCCTCTTGATCCATTGGGTAAACCCAGTAATCTGGATTTGCTATCTATAGTAGGTTTCCGAAAACGCCTATTGTTAATTTGTCCCCCTCCCCTTATATCGGTTATCAAAATCGAAAAGTACATGGACAAACTTATTAGTATCTAGAGAAAAACAACAACCCTAGAATTGTGAGTGGATATAGAATCGTGTCATGGGAAGTAGTTGAGGTATAGGTCAAAGTGCCCCTCTATATACGATACGATATAAAGAACGACAATACGACAAAGTAAGTTTCTAAAAATGGTAGATCAAAATAGGAACACTAATATAAGGGAGGAGACATTGGAAAAATTTAGGAACGATAGGAAAACAAGTAACGAACGTGGACTGAAAAGAGTATACAGTAGTTGCTAGCACAGAAGAATCGACTAAATTTTTACGCAAACCATGACAGGACATGTCAGCTTCATAACCTACACATTAGGGATCGGCAAGGCATAAAACGAGTCCTGTGAATACTGCAGAGAAAATGTCACACCAGCTCAAACAATTTGTATATGCGTTAGGTGGGGTGCAATTTGAAGGTGAATTAGGAAGTGCATTGTAGAATGGAAGTATGGTGGAAAAAGGTTAAGCTGCAAAGAAAGATGAAAAGCGACACATCTTCATAAAAAAGATAAAAATGAGAAAGTTAAAATGAGGATAGGATTAGGCAACAGATATAATACATACAGGAGAAATACCCCATCGACGGTACTCGGGTATATATAGCTTAGTAGAAGAAAAGGGAGTTTTTGTCGGAGTTGTGCTTGTCACTATCCACTGCATAGACTCAGCTGCAGGTGTCAAATAGTTTCCCTTTCCCAAATAAAATACTATCTTTAATTTGTATTGCATCTATCTTAAATAGCTTTTGGTACACGAAATTCATTTTATTTTAATATTACATATCTCGACCTACCATGTAAAAATACCTGAAAAATTCATGGCTTACTATATGAAGTATAAAAATATTCATTCTTTCGATATTATTATATCCGATTATATCAAGTCATTTTAATATGAATATTAAAAAAGTTTTTAAGTCATTTACCGTGAGTAGTGATGATCATTAATATTTAAGTAATTTAAAAGAGATGTCGCTAAGGATTAATGAAAAGTATGGGGTTACAAAATATCAGCATGGTTACCATTTTTTTAAATGTATCAACATTATTTGAGCTTATATTTCTCTTCATTTGTTTAAGCTAGCTTGCGATTCTCCTATGATAATGTGGTCAATTTATTAATCATAGTCGTATATTTTTTGTAGGTGATAAAATGAATGAAGATGATTTTACTGATTTTATGGGAACAGCTGACGTAAATGGCGATGGAATTATTAAATATGAATGGTTAACCAACACGATCTTCACCTTCTTGATAGAATAAATATTTACAAAAAAAATTATCTTTACATTATTTAGCTCGTTTTTATCTACACGAAATCTGTGGACCGGTAGAATTAACTTTTAAAATCATATTTCGTTCTGCATGCGATTATTCGATACCCATGATTCCTTTATATAATGATGAATGACGTAGTAAAATATTGGAAATAAATTTTGGTCGATTTTTGTCGTTTTTTGGTGTTTTTTGTCGATTTTAATCGATTTTGGTCAATTTTTTGTCAATTTTGGTCGATATTGGTCGATTTTGGTCGATTGCGTTAGGTGCCCCGATCAATCGCCCAGGGGCCGTATTCTCATGACTATGCGAGTAGGAGAGTAGGCAAATACTCTCTCACTATTTGGCTGGAATCATATAAATGATGAGAGCAGCGTTGCCAGACGTACGAAAATTATCGTATTTGTACGATATACGTTAAAATTAAAAATTGTCCAGTTTTTCGGAATTTTTATTAACGGCATCTTTAGTTTTACGAAAAAGTAGCACAACCCTCCATCTTCAAAAATAAAGAAAAGTACTCAAAATGGGACATTTGACAACTGTATCTGTAACGTGTGAAGGTTGGGTTACTCCAACGGCATTTGAAAGGCCTCATTAGGCCCATTGTGCATCCTCCTAAGATGATAGGCACCTCCTAGCTTGTCACCTCCTAGCCCCGTCAGATTTAATGTAGTTGACAACGTCGCCAAGAGGTGCTTCTCTTATATCGGCCGGTATAAGCCGATGCTCGATGGTCTCATCTTCTTGTTCGCAGAGTATGTTCTTAAAATTTCCTGTTTTTAGAATGACCAGGTCATCTACATATGCTATTGTGTAGGGACTGTCATTATTGAGGCGGCTGGTGAAGGTGTCAAGGACCATATTCCAATGTAGAGGTGATAGCACCCCTCCCTGTAGACATCCCCTCGCAATCAAGCCTCTTATATTCACATTTTCTACAATTATGTTTACTGCTCGCTTTGAGAGCATGTTATGTATTCATCCACTAACCATTTGTGGAATATTCCTGTTGGTTAGTAAGTGCATTATCTTTGGGAAGGTGGTTTTATCAAAAGCAGGGCTGAATCAGTAGGTCTGCCTGGGATGTATGCATGTTGGTTTGGGTGTAGTGGTGTTGTTGTAATCACCGCATCCCTTATGTACCTTTTGCATAGCCTTTCCAATGTATTCATGGAAAACGATGTTAGGCTAATTGGTCGGTATGTTTTTGGGACAGTGTAATCCATCCTTCCAGCTTTGGGTATAAATACCACTTTTACTTCTCTCCATTTTTTGGGGATATACCTCAAAGCCAACGAGGATCTGAATATACCCACCAGGTGCGGTGTGAGTTCTTCCAGACCCCACTGAAGTAGGGCTGGATAGATACCATCAGGTTCTGGCGATTTAAATGGAGAGAAGCTGGATATTGCCCATCGTCTACAATGTGTTTGGTAGTTTGCCAATCATAGACAGATGGATTGTATTTTTCCTCTGCCCAGTCGGCCACGTCTGTGATGACCGAGTCAGGGAAGTATGTTGACAGCAGCAGTTTGATGCTATCTTCGAGGTTGGCAGTTTTCGTGCCATCCTCTTTAATTAGCGCACCAACGCTTCGGTGTGAATCTTTGACATATCATTTAGACTTTTGTATATGTTGCGTACTAGTAATAAAGAAATAAAAAGTATTTAATTAAAGTAATAACTCATCGCAAATTTGAAATTAATTGACACCATTCATTATTCATTTTTCGCAAGCTCTTGTTTATTTTCCACGGAACATCGTTCTATTAATTGAAGTTAAAGGATTCCATAATCAACATTTCATTCGAAAAGTCTGAAGGTAACATTCGCATCGGTAAGTTCCAACATCGTTTATACAACACTTACATCGCTGACGGGATGAAATTTGCAAGTCACGATAAAAACCACTTCAAGTGGAAAAGCGATGCCAGTTGAAAATACTTATATCAAACTCGTTGCGTTTACTGAGCATAATTGAAAAACATTTGTTTTCCTCGGAAAATCAAACAAAAATTTAAACGGGTTGGTAAATAGAGTAATGGGAATGGAAATGGGATAGAGATAGAAGTAAATAAATGTGGCAACTAATTCAACAGCGTGAAAAAAATTTGTATAGGTTGGAATTGGATTTTGATTTATTATCCAATGCCTATTTGAACATATTTGTTATCTACTGCTTTTCTGAGAGGCTTAAATGGCCTAAACTCGTTCGTTTTCGTTTTTCAATACATTCAATACAATTACTTAAGTTCTGGAAAAAACTGTTATTAACGAAATAAAATAAAAACTAAGTAATAATGATGAGATATAAAAGCAATAACAAAACTTAAAATAATAAAATGTTAAAACTGTCAACAATAACAATTATCGGATAAAAAGTAATGTGTGAAATTGACTGCAATCTGAACAATCAGAAGTCTACAGAATCCCCAACTTAAATTCAGATAGCTCATTTTAGTTTAAAAACAGAGTATAACGTATGTCCCTAAAGTTTTCGGAAAAAAATCTATTATTATTTATTTATCGCAGACAGCCTAGAATCAAGTTGCCATTGGAAACAAAGTTAGTAAACAACTCAAAGTATGTTACTAAATGTCAGTTTTGACTAATTGTTTGTCAAGATGTCGTATAAGCTTAATATTCGTCAAAGTATTTATCATTTAGTTGGACAAGTACCCAAGTGCGATATTGTTAGAATTTTCAGCGCCCAAAATATTTCTACTTCCACAATTTACCAGACTATTGAAGACTGTGAAAATGGCATACCATGCATTAATTTGACAAAAAGTGGGAGGCCAAAAGTTTTAAGTCGTGCACGAGAAAATAGATTGGTTGAAAGTGTAGAAAACAACTTAGGAAAGTCATTGCGCAAAGTTGGCCGAAGATACAATGTTTGCCGGATGACTGTAAGTAGAACACTCTCTAGAAATAATTTGAAATATTATAAAAGAAGAAAGGCTCCTAAATACACAGTAGCTAAGTTGGAAAAAATTCCCAAATGTTGCCGTGCTTTGAGACGTATTCATTTTCCCGGTAAAATTATCATTATGGATGATGAAAAATATTTTACTTTATCAAATTCCGAAATGAGAGGTAACGATGGATTTTATACACGTAATGCGGAAGAAGCTCCTGATCATGTTAGATTTAAAGGCAAAGTTAAATTTGCCGACAAAATTTTAGTGTGGTGTGCCATTTCAGAAGCTGGTATTTCACAGCCACATGTTGGACGTGTTCGCGGTGAAGCTATCAATGCGGAGATTTACATTGAGAGATGTCTTTCAAAACTTCGTAACTTTATACATACTCATCATCCCAATGATGAAGTGATATTTTGGCCCGATCTAGCATCGTGCCATTACGCCAGGAGAACGACAGACTGGTTAACTGCTCAAAATATAAATTTTGTTCCTAAGCGCGACAACCCTCCAAATGTGCCTCAGGCGAGGCCCATAGAAGAGTTTTGGGCCCTTTTAAGTCGAAAAGTATATGATAATGGATGGGAAGCCCAAAATGAGGAGCAGTTAAGACGAAGAATACTGCAAAAAATTCGTGAAATCGATTTAGCAACAGTCCAAAGGCTTATGGCCCATGTAAGGCCAAAACTACGTGCCATCGAAGAACATGGACCCATGTATGTTCTATAAAAATATCAGATAACGTTTAGAGTTCTAGAAATACTTTCCCATTGTTAATTTTTAAATAAATTTATTTCCCAAACAAAAAAATAAATGTTTTATTTTTTCCGAAAACTTTAGGGACATACGTTAGCAAATTAATAACTGATTTTTTATCAAATCAAGAGACCGATACGAAATTTACGATTATGCTGTTGTTGCGTTTACCGTGCAGAGTTCAAACATCAGCAACACGAAGTGTATGTACTCATTCACTTATGCATGTTATAGTTGCTTGCTGCAGCACAAAATCCGGTTAACCCCATTTTGGGGTCATGCTTTCCTACCTAGAAATATGATCTACGTTCACGTACGCTATAGCTAATCAACCCCTTTCGAGAAATACTAATTTAGCTATAATTAACCAATCTCGACTTGAATAATGATTTTAGAAAAACGGTTGTAGAGTGTGCAAATGGGCGTATAAGAAAGATAATCAGTAAATTTGTGAAAGTTAAAGGTAATCTAACGATTTTTTTAAGAAAAATTTATTTTATAGACCTGGGGTAGTATTCTCGAGTCACGAATATAGATTCGCATGCGAGATTTATGATTTGTCTCACTTGGTTTTCGTTCAACAAAGTGAGACACATTGTAAAACACGTATGCGAATGTCGGTATTCGTGATTCGAGAATACTACCCCAGAGATGTAATTCAGGAAGTAATGAGACGCTGTTTTCATTTCTAAATATTGTAAAAGGCTTAAGTAGATTATTTATAAATTTTTTTTTTATTTTTAAGAAAAATATACCTTCTACCGAGTGTAGCGAAATACAGGGGTCTAAAAGAGATTTATAATTATATTACTTTGCAATATTGGCAAAACTATAATTTTTCTGGAACAATATTATTGATGCATTAACTTTTGAAAGAGGTACTGGATCAGAAAATTTAAGTTGTTCCACCGGCATTGCTCCAGAAGATGAAATCACTAAATTTTGCTCTCAATTTATTTAAAAAAATGTTTATTTCAATTAAAATGGGATATCCAGATAAACTACATTGTTAAAAAGTTACAGTCAATTTTACATAAATTTAAACAGCTTAGTAAATGCCTACCGCAGCATGAGTTAAAAAAACTATATCCAGCACTTGTTGAAAGTCACCTGAGATATGCAATAACAGCTTGGGGTTCTGCTTTAAAGGTTCACTTAACACCGTTAGAAATAATCCAAAAAAGATTTCTAAAATTAATAATGGGCAAACTCTATAGATATCCAACCGAAAATCTATTCGCAGAAAGTAAAGTATTTGATGTCAAACAACTTCTCTTTTTTAGTACCAATGTTAAATACCATTTTGGAAATAAAAAAACTACCAATCGCGAACACCACCACTTCACTAGAAATTACAATCTTCACACTTACCCAATAATAGTTAAAAAATCAATTTCTCAACGAGCATACTCTTATGTCGCTTTAAAATGTTACAATACTTTGCCTGAAACACTAAAAAGAATAAATAATAAAAATTTGTTTAAAACAAAGCTGAAG